GCGATAAAGACGAGGAACGCGGCGTCGTTAGTGGACGCGATCGCGACGATGCAGTGATCGAGGTGATCGTACAGTGGTGATCGACGGGAGGAGGACGATGCATCACTCCGGTGGAGGTGCTGGTTACGGGACCGGGCCCCAGGAGCGTGTGCACCAGGTGCCGCGAACCGGCGGACAACCTGATAAGTGTCCGTATGAGACCTACCAGGCACAGATACCGGACTGCTGTGCAGCCGCAGCTGCGGTCCAGGATCCGTACCCACGGCCCCCGAGCGGATACGACGGCAGGTGCTACGACGAGTGTCATCGCAGGACTCCCTATCAGGATGAAACCTATTCCCAGGTACGTGCACCGATTTTTATAGTGGATTTAGTTAGGCGGGATCAGAGTGCCGTCTGATGTATCTCCGGGAAAACTGATAAGGATTGTGGCGACCGCCACGGGGGGCCTACACACCTAGGCCTGGCGACTCTTGGCCCTCGAGGCGAAGAGTCGAGAGATGTTTTTCCAAACATCTCTGAATTTCTTCGTCCTCGAGGACAAGAGTATCGCCTTGGCAATGTAGGCCCGCGCTCCCACTTCCTGGGACTTTCCCAGGGAAAAAAGGGGCTGCTTAAGGGAGGCTTTTTGTCGTGGACACTCTTACCACGTGCGTCGTGTCGCCTACACTTTAAAAATAGTTTAAGCGTTATCGCATTTAAATAAATATATTCTTGTTGCTTAAGGGAGGCTTTTTGTCGTGGACACTCTTACCACGTGCATCGTGTCGCCTACACTTTAAAAATAGTTTAAGCGTTATCGCATTTAAATAAATATATTCTTGTTAAGGAACCTTAGTGTAATAATTACTTTTACACCACGTCAATTCCAAAGGATGACCATTTTTTCATCTGTTGATCGGTGATTTTGGGTCATTCCGTAAGATCGTGTCGAATTTTATAGTTTAGATTAATCTTTTACATTGGATAAGAAAATTGTGAGTTCTACTTTTTGGTAAGACTATTGTGTCGTCACTTGATAAGGATAGCGGAGGTACAGTGAAAAGCTAGACAGAGTAGAATTTGTAAATTGGTAATTCTTCGATGATTAATCTAGAGTACGTAACTGTTGGGAGAGAGAAGTGAGAAATTTACGAACTCTGTGTGTACCGATAAGTGCAGACACTCAATGGTTGCCTTATATGAAATTCTTTTTACAACGATATCTAAATAAAAATGGAAAACAATGCATCGGATATTAAAAGTTCAAAACCAAGAATACGAACAACTCATTTTACATATACTCGGACTTTATCAGTTGACCCGATAATATATAGCTTCTTATTTCCCCTGAACCCTAAGTATATCAGTGAAGCCGTACACAGTGCACGCAACGGTACATTATTAAACACTATTAAATCTCCTTTGTATCTGTCCCGATACGAAATTTCAAGGAATATACCACGTATACCCGAAAGCAGCGTTTAAGAGACATTCAAACGACAAACTTAGACAGAAATTTCCGAGAAAAAAAACGTCACTTTAAACAGCCTGAAAATCGTAGATTTAGATATAAAACGAGAATTCGCCGGAATTGAATTAGTCCTCCTCGGAAAAGTACGACAAAAAGTGTCGAATATGAAATTGCAGGAATCAGATCGACGTTCGTGGATATTCTTCCTCGAACTCTGTCTACCAGTTAATATCACACGAGTTTCCAATAATTTCTACCTCTTACCCCGTTATTCCTTTCCTTACACCGTGAATTAAAAAATTTCAAACTGACGTAAATATTTGATAAAAAGAAAAATTAAAAAATCTGTCGATACTATGATAGACACGGAGAACGTCAGTGTGAGAAGAAATGGATAGAATTATCGACACCTCGGTGCCCGTTCTCCCCTAGCCACGTTAATATTATGCTTCAATTCACAGGCGCGCTAATTAAATTTAATTTTCGGCTTGAGGCGTGGCGCAGGTTTCTTTAATTGGCCCGATAGAACGGAACGAGGTTTGTGGCATGGCAAACGAGCAAGCCTCTAGTTCTTAATATTTACGATTATTGTTGGTTGAAAATGAAATTTCCCACGGAAGCGACCCGGGAAAAGGAGCGGGTTAATTAGTGCTGAGAAGAGAAACTTTAAGCCGCTGATGATTCAGCAGGTAACTTTGTTCGATAGTCTGACGCCAGCAATATGAGCCATTTCAGCTTAACTAATTCCAAGACTTGGTGTTGCGCGTAGTTGCTGCAACATTAAAGACTTACATCGACCATACGCGGCCGATTAGTGTCCCTGAAACGCTCGTAATTAGGATATTAATTCGCCCGCCTGAGGCTAATTTGTTCCGCGATTATTGCACCGGTCTACTCGCCAGTAATCGACACGTGATTCGAGAAAATTGTGAATCACTGATTGCATAATTTCACTTACACTCACTTCCGGTGAACGAAAAATTGTCGAATGAATTCATCGTCAATTAGGAGTTTCGCTAAAGAATTAGAAAATATTTTAGAGTCATCGACAAGTGCTTCGAGTGTTTGAGAAAATGTTGAATCATAGATTGCATAATTTAACTTTCATTCACTTTTACTGAATACAGTAAATTCTCCACAAGTGTCAGTCCGCAAGGAACCTAAACCTGACACTTGTAGAGTCAGGGACTACGTTTTCGAGCCTCACGCTCGCCTTTGTAGTTTGCCGAACGTAGACAAGGACAGCGAATAAAAGATAAGCATGAAACGTGAGTCGAGGCAACCAAGCGATTTAAACACCAACTTTTTTAATTTTACGTTTTTTTATCCCAAAATCGTGGAGGTAGGCCGACATTAAATTAATTACTCAATAAGTATTAATAAGTAAACATTGTTCAAATTATATCGTGTTTGATCTCATTTTCATCAGAAAAATCTCAGCAACATGTTAAAAAAAATTTCAGATGAAAAAAAGTAAAATTAAAGAAATTATATTTTTCTATTATGATTTGTGGAGCCGTAAAATCTCGTAAAAGAAACCGAGTGGTGTAGCGTTACACGCAGCAATGACGCAGCCTAGGCGTAGGATCATCTATACTGACACTTGTAGAATCCAAACTGACTGACACTTGTAGAGAATTTACTGTATTATCAATTATAATTTCCATGGAAAATTGTCGAAGGAATTCATCGTCTATCACGAGTTTCATAAAAAAAAGTTAGAAAATGACGTTTAAAATCGGTGTAAAAATTTGAAAGACGAAAAATCAACACAATTCAATACTAAGCGATAATTACTGCTAACTGATCGATAAAATCTTGTCAGAAATTCTCAGACAAGTGATTCGAGAAAGTGTTCAATCATTGACTGCATAATTTAACTTTCATTCACTTCCAGTAAATATTATCAATTACAATTTCCACGAGAAATCGTCGAACGAATTCATCGTTTCTCTCTCGAGTGTCGCCAGAAACTTACAAAATGACGTTTAAAATCGCCCAAAAATTTGAAAGAGGAGCTCAAGAAAAATCAACGTAGCAATTAACGCCAGTCGATCGACAAAATCCTGTCAGAGATTCTCGAGATCGTTTAACCGATTTACGCATAACTCGAGATCGCGCAGGTGAAACGTTGATTGGTCCCGAAAATAATAGGAGATTGCATCTCGACACGATGCATTTCATACATCTCCTTTTAGTCCACCGCCCTCTCAGCCGTCTCTCTTTCAATGAAACCTCGTTCCCTTTTGAAATTCCTGACCAGGCATGCGCGTGGCCGTGTTTCTTTGATCCCCGCTTCAGCGAGCATTACTACTCGTATACATACTTCGTTGCACCTAAAATTAACGATATGCGCATATTTCTTTGAGCTGGGAATATTAACGTGGCTGCGTTTCATGGAAACACGTCGTTAACTCGAACTATCCCCACTGTTACATATTCTCCGCGTGTCCCTCGTTCCCCTAAGCTCCCGTGCGTTTCAGCCAAGTGACGATTCTTTAATGAACAAGAACGTTTTGTTTCGCCAGAAATTTTCAATTCTAACGACGAAGAAATTCCCTCTTGCCTCTGTCCTTTTTCTCCCTTTTTTTATTTAGCGTAAAACGAAGGAACGTGGATCTTTTTGTTTGGGGTAGAATGAAGGAACGTGGATCTTTTTATGTGGGGTAAAGCGAAGGAGCGTGGATCTTTTTATTTAGGGTAAAATGGAGGAACGTGGATTTTTTTTTGTTTTTAATTTGATTTTTAATTGTGCCGATAAGCGCGAAATTTTCACAAAATAGACATTTCCGTTAGAGCATAAATGCGAAATTTTCACAAAATAGACAAAATTTTCACTAGAGCATAAATGCGAAATTTTCAAAAAGCAGACAAAATTTTCATTAGAGGATAAATGCGAAAATTTCATGTAAGAGAAAATCAGTCAGAATAACGGTGGTGAGCGGTGGAATAAGATATAAATGTGGGCGGTTAAACAGAGTGAATGCTTGTATTTCGAACTATACTGTACGAGTGCTGATACAATTCTATCTTTCCTGAAAAACCTAGTCAAGAGGACCCCCTTGACAATATGGCCTTTCTTAGCCTTGAGGCAGAACTATCCCTAGGAGGGGGAAACGCAGCAGAAGACTGCACATGGCCCACTCAAGCCTTCGCTTTTTGGACTTTTCTAACATTCACGAACGAATGATCTTTAAGAATATTTTTATTCTATCCGGAAGATTTTACTCAAAAATAAATCTAAAGCGTGAAATTCTCACTTATCGACGAGAAAATCAGCTCTGAAAATTCAGCAGCCCAGTCTTGCATAATAGACCTCATTAGAAACTGTAATTACGTGATATCGCAATTAGGCTTCTGTCGTCATTTCACCTTATTTACAATCTATTTATCCTGCTAATATCAATGAAATTATCCTAACACCACGGTTTATATTTACACCTACTTAAATACTTCCTCGTAAATGTTTAAAATGCATTTTCTTGAACGCGAAGGCATTTTTAAAATCCATTTTCTCGAAAAACTCTATTTTTGCACGATAAATCGTTCTACCCAATTTTATCACAACGTACAACGACCCTAAACTTCCACCGAACCAATTATTATTATAAATTCCTAAAAAAAAAAAAAAAAAAAAACGTAATTCAGAGGAAAAATCGATTCGTTAATATATTCATAGTGAATTGAATTTCAACAAGTCTACGTTTATCAAACTCGATTTATTTTCAGTAGAAATTACAAGTATATACGTTGTTTGGAATATTCCAAGCGTTTGTTTCGCAGATTGTCTGGAAGAATAGGAATTCATAGACGCGAAATGCATCAGGTAATAGTTGAAGTGTGTATTGAAATTATGGAAGAAGAGGCCACTTGTGACGTTACTGATAGCT